ATATATATATATATATATATATATATATATATATATATATATATATATATATATATATAAATGTATTGGAGTAATATACCCACGTTTTACGCATTTTCAACACGTCTGCTACCTAATGGTAAGTGGATGTTGTGGCGCATAGGCATTTATGTCTATCCTCGATTAAGTGTCAAAATGCAGGTGCGTTCTCATCCATGAGGATTAAAATGAAATGCCGCGTTCACAGTAAAAAGCATCTCCGGTTCTCTAAACTCACCATACGTAACACAGCTTCATCAACCATATTTCATTCATACGTAACACAGCTTCATAACCATATAATTATTATCCAACCAATGGCCTAAAATAAATTTGACGAATAACGGAGCATTATTAAAATCAACACGTAGGTAAGTATACTCGTATATTTTCATTGCTGGAATAATAAAACAAAAGCTCTCAATAAATGTTTTGTGTAGACGGATGGGTTGATGGATAGACAACTAATTGACAGTCTTCACGGGAAGATCGGATATCATGCTTCGTCGGTTGCGTTGGCTTCGTTGGCTTAGTTAATAGTTTTAGTAGGTAGTAAACACAAAAAAAAAAACTGCAAAAATTTGATGTACTGTATTATGTACTTTTATCTTCTATAATAATCATCAATCTATCTATAATTATCAAAGTGGTAGTGTTTATTACAAATACTTTTTTTTAATATGGAATATTAACATAATTTTAGGATAATAATTGCAATTAAATGTATTTGCTATTTGGGTTACGCTTTAGATTGGGTTTATATATATCCCGTGTGATGGCGAAGTATTAGAATCTGGATCTATTCGAAATATATGGATGGATTTGCGTAGGTGACGTAAGATCATATGACTTTCGACAGATGGTCGTATATTCAGGGCCTCTGACGGAAAGCAACGTTAAAGGTGTAAGAGATCTGCTACTACAATTGCCAATCCGCCTGTCTACAGTGGCGATAATGGCAAATATTTATTACAATGGGAGTAGACTTTTACAGGCTAATGAAGAAGAAGTAATGTTTCAGCACTAGGAAAAACCAATACGAAACGCATAGGTTTTTGTTTTTAAAACCAATATAATTTACAATACATTGCTTCCATTTACAAATATAAAAAGTATTGGTCTAATAAATGTAATATCCAAATGTTTGCAATTTCATAAGACACTATTCCAGCCTCGCATGGAATACTATTATCATCTCTGTGCCGGGGCACCCCAGTGTCAGCTTTTTTCACTTGACCGCATCCCGAAAAGCGCGACCGGAATCGGCGAAGACCGATTTCTTTATTTCTAATTTTGCTTTATCAGCTTGATTCACTGGCATTGGAAAGAGATGTTGCCTTTTTATTTTATTTTTTGCATTTACCACAGTGACTGCTCAAAGGAATTGATCGGATTAATTCCAGCTGCTAAATTCCACTATTGCACATCGCGACAATATTCTCAATACCATCATATCATACCACCGCCGTAAGTTTTTACCTCGCACGACTTCTCCTTTTTATAAGGCCGCCAACGCATTTAAAACTCTTCTGGTGCTGCAGTTGTTCATTCGCGACGGTAGTGACTTACTATCAGGTGAGCCTATATGATACTCGTTTATTCCTGCTTCTTAAAAAATGTAGAAACTAATTTCCACTTTGTTCTTTGTGTAGCGGCGCAGGAAGTTTGGTGTGCATTGCATAAGAACATCTGCAATTTTGGCTGAAACACGAGTGGATCTGCTTCACAGGGGAAAGACCACGCTCACGCAGAATACGCAAGAAATTGTAATTGAAAAGAACCGGAGATCCTGTTTCCTGGTGACGAGGCATTGCATCATAGTCCTGATGGGTGAATACATATTTTTTGCATTTCGGTTATTATTCGAGGAAAATTGTAGGGTGCCTATCAGTTACCATCAATTGGAGTGTGTGCTTGCTTATCACCTTATAAATAAAAAAAATAAAAGAAGTGAGTAATGACCACTCAATATGTCGAACACTTTTATGCTCGAGTATCGTCAATTTTCTTAAGTTGTTAACAAAGAATTAACAAGGAATTACGGGTCGTATTGGCGACGGCAATTAATGCGGGCAGCAATAATGAGGGGATTAAACGTACTTATCTAAAGTGAAGCTAAATCCTGATTATATTATTAAGTAGGTAACTACTTAGTTGAGGATAGTGTAGTAACGCATTGCTACAGTCATTTATGCGATTCTTAAGAGAAATTTATTAATTGTATTTATACATTTTATAATGACAGTATCTGTAGCCGGGTGCTATTTATAAATAACTAGCTGGTCCCGGGGCGTTGCTGCCGCAGAAAAATAATTGGGGAAATATCTTTTCAAATTTGGAAGAGTTATCTTGTTTAATTAGGAATGATAATACATTCATTAAAGTTGAATGATATGTAACATTCAAATAAATTTGTCGGTACGATACGCACACGACCTACTGCAAGTTAATTGTACGTTGCCTATCCTTTTTAACCTTCGTGCAAGTGCAAGCAATAAGTTGACAAAGTTTTAGCGCAATCTGATGAACGGTATGGCAGCACAAAAAATACGAACAAACAAATATTATTTTTTATATGTTAGATGATTATAAAGTCATTATTTAATGTAATAGGTGCGTCTTAAATGAGCCGAAAATTAATTTTATCTTATTCTAACATGTCATACTCACATTATCTAGACAACAAATATAAAAAATATACGTTTTATTTTTCAGTTTTAGATCGTTTTTCTATCACAAAAAGTGAACTCGCATTTAGTTTTTTTTTTTTTTTATAAATATCTGTAAAAGTAAATTAATGATCGCTCCTACACAGTCATCTATTTCGGATTATCATAAGAATATAATTCCTACGTTTTCGATTTAAATAGCTTGCGAATTATATAGCGTCTTTCTCTATAAATTTACCACTAAAAGTATTATTATATTCCAATTCCAATTTCAAATAAACACCCTTATTTTTCATCTTCATGTTTTTATTTAATATAAAGTTTCTTCTTGTTGCAAAAATCCAATATTTGGTAGCAGGGATTGAAATTTTTCATAACTTAATTCGTACAAAGTCAGCGATCGTCTGCGAGCGTTTCCTTTATTTAACTTTGTCGATTTCTTTACACTGAACAGTAGAAAACATACTATAAATGTGTGTTTTCAGATGTTAATCAGGTTATGATAACTCATATTTTTTATTACCACTTTTCTTAAACATATTTGAGAAAAAAATAATTGAAAGACCAGACCTACTCCGTCAATTTATCACTTTGATTAAATTTTATTATAATAAGCATGATATTATATTATAATGTCCTAAGTAGTAATATAATGCTGAAATACTAAAATGGTTAAACTTTTTCAAGTATATACGATTGTTTATGTCTTTAGCTATAACTTAAATCATATAGAAATATTGTAAATATTATGTTTTTTTATGCATTTAAGAAGATATATATTTCAAAATAAATAATTTATGGGAATGACAAAGCGAGGACAGGCGGACATACACGTTTTAAGTAATAAATACTTAAAATGTAATAGTATATAAGTGTATCGATATTATCAATATTAAGTATACATAAAATAGGTACTACATTATTGAACCTAGGACAGAACTACCTATTTCACGAATAATTTAATATTTTACAAAGTTCCTATTAGCTATCTGGGCATGCATAAATAAATGCAAAGCAGTGTAAATATTAATATTTACTGTTCAGTTGAAAGGGATGTAACCGAACTTAAAAATATAAGCTTTGAACAAAGCCATTCCAAAAACCACTAGTCGGCTTGTATAAACTGGAAATTCATCGTGTGACCGCGTTCTAAATGCGTCGAATGAACATCTTTCATTCTTTCAAAACAATATGATTTTGTTTATAGCTACCTTAGCTCTTACGCGAAGCGATTAAAAACTTAAGCCACTCTTTTACTTGAGCTTGAGTATAGATATATAAAGCTTCTGATTGCAATTTCTGAAGTTGTTTCTAAGCAGTATCTCTTCTACACGGGTGCATCTTTTTATTTAATAAAGTGGAAAAAAAAAGAAGGAAGTAGAAGGTAAGTAGAATAATATCAGCAATTGTGTCTGGATCTAAATGACGTAGCCACTATCGCCGGAAGTCAAATTACCTGTCCGGTCAATGGCAGTACGTCTATATTTACGCTTTTGTGTATTCACATTTTTCTGAAAAGTACTTACTAATTAGAATTATCAAGAAACGCAGCAAAAGTTATCGACTGTAACTGTCATGCCATAGTGCCGTTTAAAAATGAAGATTAGAACCTTGAAAGCAGCTTTTCCAACAATGGAGCAGACAACACGCATGGTCCCCGCCCGATGTACGTTTATCTACGGAACAGTGCAATATCATATCACGCTCCATTTTAACAAAAAGCATTTCACAGCACTGTGTATGTGGCTCGTTACCACTGTGGAGGCTGATGCTTTTGTGTTGATTCATTTATTCAAAATTATGTGCTTTGAGTAATCCTACCATTGTTACGCAACGCCAATTTATGCTCTACTATTATCACTTTTGTATGATCATTGTCGTTAGAAAGAGGGAGTTAGCATTTAGTGAAATGTCATGTTTGTCTGGATTTAGCGTTTCAAGTGATTGTTTTTTTTCGAGGTATATTTTAAATCCGTTAATTGTAAAATAATGCAACTATTTTAAGACCCTTTTTAAGGAATCGAGCGTAGTATTTATTATTAGTAACTAAAATAATTTACATTAAACACCTGCGAAATTACAAACAACACATAAAATCTAACTACAAATTATCTATAACTAGGTTTACATCTTGAAATGTGTAAAAATACGTTTCGGAAGTTTTTGTAATGAAATACGTTCAATAATGTGAAAAATAAATTTCGTATAATGACATACCTATTCTTGAAGAAGGTCGTGGTTAGTTGTCTCGTGTTGATGCATTCATGTTTGTTTGGTTTTAATAATTCATGAGTTTCACGTTTTGTAACTTACCGAGATTTTCAGCACTAGCGTTGACGTCGTATCGGTGCGCGGGCTTGGAGTGCGGCGCTGGGGAATGCAACGAAGTACTTTTGTGTCGACGAATTGTCGGCAGCCTCGATACAAAGGACGCATTGTTCTTGAATGATGCGCTCATAACCCGACTGTCAAAATACATATTAGTCATTGGTTTTGCCACAAAAATGATTTGAAATCAAAAAACATCCTAATTTCAATAGAGAAGATGGCTGGGTGTTATATCTGCTTGGGGTCCGATAATTAATAAAATTAAATCCCAAACCAAGCATACAACTGTAAGACTTCAAGGTACTGTAAGTTCATACTGCGTAGATCGGAACAAAAATTAATAATTTTTAATTTGGAGGTAGCCGTGGTTAACTATGACATTGGGACGTTACACACCTCAGTCCCCCCCGTGACCATGGGTGCTGTAAAGTGCTCGAAATGTCGGAAATATAAAATAAGTTAATATACGCGATAAAATCCGTAAAATTAGTTTTATTTAAATTTGCCACAAAAATTTTAGTAAGTGTGTTTTGAGAGATGTGGTTTTGATCACTTTTTATTTGGTTAATGTGTAAAAAACATTTTAATAAGATGAATCATTTTAGAGAAAAACGTAAGTAATACAGAATAGCCCACAGAAATGTTTTACTATGAAATATTGAAGTACATCTCAATTGATATATCTAATATGAATTTGCTACGGATTTATAAACTGTACTTAAAAGGTACTTTGGAGCTTCTCTTCCAATCCAAACTAATGATGAGTGTCCACGCAGATATTGATAAGCAAGTTTTATTGAGCATGACTCTTCTCCAAACATTTTCGACCGCGTCTATACGTTACGTCACTAAGAATCGAGCCAATGGATGACTTATTGTTGTATTGCTTTGTAGCATGTTGTAGTATTAAAATGCAGATGAAATCTCGACGAAATTGAAGCACTGGGTGAATCCATTCTTCTCAAAATGATAACAATTCAAGTTACAACTCAAGTCTCACAACTGTTTGAGGATAAATAAAGCAGTATGCAATAGCTATAATTAAGCAAAATAAATCATTATATAACAGCTGTTACTGCAAGTAACAAATCATGACTATACGTACGAAAGCCACTTATTTTGGATTTCAAGAATATTCTAATTAGAGTAAGCTTAGTACACAGATCGCTAAACAGACATTCATTATACAAATTCTCGTACATGATCTTCACTATACTTTAAAAAAAAAGTGGATAACTACTGACACGCTCGACGCAGTGACTAGACGTTTTACGTTCGCCAGTTGCGTTATGTTCACTTTGGTCATCGAGCAAAAATTATGCCAAATTGAATTTTGTACGATTTTAGGTTTGCTCAATGGCGCGTAAAAACCCTAAGGATTTTACTGATCCATACGTTTGAATTTGTTCGAATGAACATAAAAACGTAGTGCAAGCTTGCACATAGAGGCTCAGTATAAGCTTGTTTTTAGCTTTACGTTACTTACGTGTAAAATTGTAAAAATAAATTACTTTAAATCGTGTTTAATAGGTCCCGTTAAATACCTTGCTTGTGGACTCGGAAGAGGAATTTGATGCATCTTCCACGTCGCAATACTCATGGAATGTTCATCGGCAGCATAGCATCGCCACAAGGCTTGTATCAGGCTTGCAGCAGGCTGACGCCGTCTGATCATATGCTTCTGTCGTTGCTGTTGTTGCACTTTAAGAGCAAATCCTGAACCTAAAATACCCTACAAACAAGTAGAAACAAAATACTTATTTTTAGTTACTGAGTCTCAGATGTAATCAAATAATAATATTTATATGTTTGTAAGTGATTCTCACAGCGGGTAGAGCGAAGAATGATATTCCCAATAGTGCACAGAAGGAGGCGATGAATTTCCCTTGCCAGGTTTGTGGCACCATGTCGCCATACCCCACCGTGCACAGCGTGATCTAAGACATTTCAAGGTTATTATTTATTTTAGATACTGTGTTACATTTTGCCATTGTAGTCAAAGTAAAACAGAATTTCAAACGTAAGAAATTCAAACATTTATCTTGTTAATTTACGAATTTAAAGAAAAAGTTATAAAATAAAACTAACTTGCTTTTTTTAAGCTTTTTCAAAAAATAACATGTCGATTTATTATGAAAAATGTATACTAACCACACCCCACCAAAGAGCCTCCGCAAAATTTTTAAACTTTGTATCGGCGACGTCTTTTTCAGCTAAATAAACTAAAAATGATGCAAATATAAGACCGAGAAATCCTATGTATAATGTAGTTATTAATTCCTGAAACAAACATATTTTTGAATTAAACACAAATAAATTATTCTTTTTAATTATACTAAATAGCAAAGTATAAGTTTTTAATAGTTCAATTATTTTATATTTCATTCTCATAAAACACACTAGTATTTTCATGACTCTGTTTTAACGTTTACTTATATTTTCTATGCACTCCGAATTTTAATGTTAAAGTGAAATGTTCTATCATCATTAAAAAATTGATATTAATATAAAATGTAGAGTTATTAATGTTTCCTGAATTTCGATGACATTCAAATGATTGTTAGACTCTGTATGCACGATACAGACGAAAATACTAATCTGTTGGTAACGTTGTGAACAAAATAATATTTTTGCACTGATTGATTTACCAAAAGCTATTTAAGTTTAGTGTTGAGTGAATTTAAGTATTGTAGTTTTAAACCTAATTAAACAGAGTGAAATTGACGTCATTGGCATCCATTGAACTTATCACTCGATTCTGTTGTGAAATATTTTAATGTAAATTACGTTCTTAATTAATTGTTTCCGAATACATTGTTCCTACCGATATATTGTCATCACCAAATTTTGGTCAGTACATAGGATTTCACTTCAATCCATTGGGCTATAATAATAATAATTTATTTGGTACAGACAACACAGATCCATTACAAAATTAAAATTAATTTTTTTTAAACTATACCTTAAATTTTAATTATAATTATTGGTTAATCAATGATATTATTACATTTTATTAATTACATTTTAATAAATTTGACCATCTACTAAAAATTTCACTACATGCATACATATTACAAATAATTTTGATGAGATTATTTTATTATATATTTATGTCGCTTACTCTGGTTCTACTGTGGATATTCTCATTTCTAAGTATACCACGCAGAGATACCTAGAGTATAAACCTCTTCATATCTGGCTGAGCGACCTTGAGCTTCCTCATACGGCCAGCAGTGAAAGACCACGTATCCGACCCATATTGATATATGGACACTGACGACACGGACTAGTTGTATTATAATTTTTTTATTAAAATTGTTTACAAATTTTGTGGTATACCTGACGAGAAGATTGGGTAAAAATACAACCTTCGACAACTTTGTGGATAGTGGTACCAACAACTACCGGCATATGTGTTACATAAACTTTTTACATACCCATTGTTTTGTCTATGTTCATTTAAGACCTATCCGTTGGGAGACACAATTGAGATCTTTGAGGATAGTGCTGAGGTCCACTATCGATTCTGTCATAAGGACTATATCGCCATCACTTCGAAGGTAAGAGACGTATTTGCCATTGATATTGATACCGTATCCTTTCCATTCCAGTAGCTTGAAAACGTCTTATAATGCAGCGGTGAAGATTTTCGGGGATTTAACGTCACCCTGTCTTAACCCTCTCTGCATTTGGATAGGTTTCGTACTCTGATTCTGTGTTCGGATAACCATTGTAGCCCTGCTTCACAAACACTTCAGCACTTCAATATACCGACAGTTAACTTGGCAACACTGAAGGGACTGTAGCACCTCCGAACTTTGGGAAAACCAAAGGTTTTCTCATAATTCACATACGCAAAACTAAGTGACAAATTGTACTCTTTGATCTTCTGTATCATTCATCATCATCATCATTACAGCCCTTCACAAGTCCACTGCTGAACATAGGCCTCCCCCAAGGAATGCCACAAAGCACGGTCCTGAGCCACCTGCATCCATCGACTTCCTGCATGTCTCACCAGGTCGTCACTCCATCTAGTGGGGGGGGGGGGGGGGGTCGCCCTACACTTCGTCTACCGGCACGAGGCTGCCACTCGAGAACCTTTCTTCCCCATCAGTTGTCGGTTCTTCGAGCTATATGGCCGGCCCACTGCAACTTCAGCTTACTAATCCGTTGGGCTATGTCGGTTACTCTGGTTCTCCTGCGGATATCCTCATTTCTAAGTTTATTACGCAGAGACACCCCGAGCATAGCCCTCTCCATAGCTCGCTGAGCGACCATGAGCTTCCTCATACGGCCAGCAGTGAAGTACCACGTCTCAGATAAGTAAGTAAGTCATCACTGGCAACAAGCACTGGTTGTACAATTTCGTTTTCAGGTTTTGAGGTATGTCTAAAGAGAAGATGTGTCGTAGTTTCCCGAACGTTGCCCAGCCGAGTTGAATCCGTCGATTGACCTCTCGGTCGAAGTTGGACTTACCTAGTCGGACTATTTGTCCCAGGTAAACATACTCGTCAACAACTTCGAGCTTAGTGCTCCCAACAACTACCGGCATAGGTGTAACATGGACGTTAAACATGATTTTTGTTTTGTCCATGTTCATCTTAAGACCTATCCGTTGGAAGACACTATTGAGGTCATTGAGCATAATGCATAGGTCCTCCAGCGATTCTGCCGTAAGGACTATATCGTTGGCAAATCGATGGTGAGTGATGTACTCGCCATTGATGTTAATACCGCATCTTTTTCAGTCCAGTAGTTTGAAAACGTCATCCAATGCAGCGGTGAAGAGTTTCGGGGATATAACGTCACCCTGTCTTACACCTCTCTGCAGTTGGATAGGTATCGTACTCTGATTCTGTACTCGGATAGACATCATAGCTCTACTGTACAAACACTTCAGCACTTCGATATACCGACAGTCAACTTGGCATCGCTGAAGGGACTGTAGCACCGCCAAATTTCGACGGAATCAAAGGCTTTCTTATAGTCCACATACGCCAGATATAGGGGCAAATTGTATTCTTCAGACTTCTGTACAATTTGCCGAAGGGTATGTATGTGGTCTATGGTGCTAAAGCACTTTCAGAAACCGGCTTGTTCGGGAGGCTGGAAGTCGTCAAGCCTGCGCGCGAGAAGATTTGTAATGACTCTCGAAAACAGCACATAGACGCGGCGCAGAAAGGAAATCGGTCTGTAGTTCTTCAAGAGAGCGTTGTCGCCTTTCTTGAAGAACAAGATCATCGCACTTCTGCTCCACGCCTCCGGTGTAATGCCACCATGGAGGACGGAATTAAAGAGCTTCTGAAGGACTTCAAGTACCGGTTTTCCACCCGCTTTCAGAAGCTCCGCTGTAACTCCATCCTCGCCTGGGGCCTTGCCGTTTTTAAGGTGCTGGAGAGCCTTTCTAATTTCGCTCAGACTGACGTCCGGGATATCTTCGGAATAGTGTCGGATAAGTCTCGCTCTTGGATCGTTACTCACACTTGCGTGTGGCTCCAACGATGACGTGTACAGCTGCCCATAGAACCTCTCAATCTCACTCAAAATCTGCTGCCACACTCGGTCTTCAGCTTTGACAGTTGGCTCTTTCTGGCAGACAGATCTCTGGCAAAGACTTTGGAGCCTTGGTTCCGCTCGATCGCTTCTTCAATACAAGCTGTATTTACGTTGCGTAAGTTCCGCCGCATGCATTTGGAGATCTGTCTGTTCAGTTGCCTGTATGCTGTCAAATCTGTTGAATAATGTAGCTTCATCTCCCGTCTAACAGCCATGAGATTAAGAGTGTGATCGGAGAGTTTTTGTGTTCTTCTGCGGCGGGTCTTGCAGAACTTAGCTCCGACCGCATGGACAGTTTCCACGAGCTTGTCATTCATATCGTCCACTTCATTGCAGTCTTCTAGGCACTGAAAATGGTTTTTTAACTCGAGCTGAAAGGTTTTGGGACTTTTGAACAGAGCACGAGGGGGACGGAGCGTTGACTTCATTAGACGAGACCTCTCCAACTTAACACTTAGGTTCAGTGTGCCTCTGACCAGTCGGTGATCGCTACCAGTTTTCACCCTCGCGATCACGGAGACATCACTGAACAGTTGTCGTCTGGTCGTCATAATGAAGTCAATCTCATTTTTTGTGGAACCGTCGGGGCTCGACCAGGTCGACTTCCTGTGTGGCCGCTTCTGGAAGAAAGAGTTCATCATAAAGAGTCCCTCTTTCTCCATGAAGTCGGCCAGCTGCTGGCCCCTTGGGCTCCGTTGCCCTATTCCAAATTTCCCTACTTTCAGCTCACCGTTCTCTCTTGTGCCTAGTTTTGCATTGAAGTCTCCCATTAACACCGTATAGTGGGTTTTGGAGGAATGCATGGCTCTAGAAATATCCTCATACATTTCCTCCACCTCCTCATCGGGGTGTGCCGAAGTTGTCATTTCTGCGTGCGAGACGACTCTCATGTAGACGCGGTTCAGAAGGAAAGTCGGTCTGTAGATATTCAAAAGAGCAACACCGCCTTTTCTTAAGAACAATACCATTGCACTTTTGGTCCACGCCTCCGGTGTAGGGCCACCATGGAGACGGAATTGAAGGTTTTTTTATGTACTTGATTTTAAAGCTACTTTCAAAAGCTTCGCTGTAATTTCATCCTCGCTCGGGGCCTTACCGTTTTTAGGGTGTTGGAAAGCCATTTTAATCTCGCTCAGGCTGACCTCCGTGATATCATCGGAATAGTGTTGGATGAGCCGACGTGTACAACTGTTCCATGAACGATTTTAACACATTCGGTCTTCAACATCGACAGTTGGCTCTTTGCAGTAAAAAGATCTTTGACAAAGACTTTGGAACCTTCGTTCCGTTAATTTTCTTCAATACGAGCTGTACGAAGTACGTAAGTTTCGCCGTATGCAATTGCAGATCTGTCTGTTTAATTGCTTGTATGTTGTCATATCTGGTGAATAATTCCCGTCTAACAGTTATGAGATTCATAATCTGATTGATGAGTTTTTAGGTTCGTCTGCGACGGGTCTTGCAAAACTTAGCTCTGAACACACAGGCAGTTTTCACAAGCTTGCTATTCATATCGTCCACTGTATTAAAATCTTCTGGGTACTGAAAACAGTTATGTAATTCGAGTTGAAAGTTTTCGGGGCTTTAGTTTAGAGCATGAGGTGGACGGAACGTTGACTTCACTAGACGTGACCTCTCTAATTTAACATCAAGGTTGAGTGTGCCTCTTACTTATCGATATGATCGCTACCAGTTTTCCCCATCGCGATCACTGAGACATCACTGAACAGTTGCCGTATAGTCGTCATAATGAAATCAATTAAATTTTTTGTTGAACCATCGAGGCTTGATCAGGTCTACTTTCGGTGCGGCCGCTTCTGGAAGTGAGAGTTCATCATGAAGAGTCCCTCTTTTTCCATTAAAATCGGCTAGTTGTTGAACCCTTGGATTCCGTTTCCCTATTCGTATTCGATAAACTGTGTTTACAATATTCACAACAAGAGAATTCACGTTTTATTAGCGTCTATTATGTATTGTGTTATATCATATATTACATTCAAAGTTTCAAAGTTTCATCGGGATAGATTGTAACAAAGGGGAAAACAGAAGAAAACGAGTAATAAAAACGCGGTTAAATATCTGTCCAATTTATAACGTTTCGAATAAACGATATTTGGAAAAACATGGCAGCCTAAATAGCGTTAAATATATATACGACTAAGCTATTATGTAACATAGGTATTTTGAATACTACATTTAAAAGATCATTGGGAGCGGGAGCCTATTTGCTGAGTCAATATCGCAAGAAAGGCGAGAACTGCGGGGCCCCGTGTTATTTGTTCAGGAATGTGATCGTGCAACTTTAACCTAAACCAATTGTGAGTGGATATTGAGTCTTGCCTTGTTTTGTGTTTATATCGACCTACTTGGCAGACGTAGGAAATTGCCACCAGTTCCGCTCTGCTTTCTCATCATGCTTATACAAATAGTAGACAAAATTCAGTGGAAGGCAACCCTATTACTTGCTATCATATTACATTTGATGTTAAATGCTATATAAAAATATACATTCCAAAATATAAATCGGCTTCCATATTAGAAAAACTCAACAGGTGTTTAATGCGAAACTGAGCTAAACAAAACAAATATCCCTTTAATAAATCATTAACCACTGTGCACCTGTTTTAAATTACGCTAAAGATAATGAGGTTACGTACGATGTTTCGATTTCGATAATTAATCTGCCTGCAGGTGTATTTCTTGTTAATTATTAAAATCTATTTGCAGTGTTTCCAGCACATCCGCTTTTACATAAATATCTCAAAACATAATGCCATTATGAACTATAAGCGTGCTCGCTATATTTATTAAGTCCAAATCTTGGCGTTTAATATTTTTTTTATTATTTATAGGTTAAAAATAACATCTTTAAATAGTTTCTACATGTTTTTATGTACAAGCGCATGCGGTAGTATTTGGTTCTAGTGTTAAAACATAGATTACTTAATTATTTTAACACATAGAGGTAATCTATGTGTTAAAATAATTTTCAAGTGTGAATAATTTTCAATAAATTCACCTGACGATGTGCATATACTACGGAGCCAAGTAATTTCCATGTGCCGCCGCGCCGATCCATCCGCACCATGCGCAATATTTGGAAAAAGCGCAACCCACGTAGTGCTGATGCAGCGAAGACTTGCCCCGATGAACCCATTCCCAACACCACCAATGACGCCATGATTGTTGTTACATCTAAAAATTAAAGTGTCACTTGTAACGAAACTTGTCTAAGAAAACATCATTGTTTACTCCACAAAGCTTGAATTTATACATAAATAAAATAATATTTGCGATGTTTGTTTCTTAAAAATCGGTCCAAAGTTTCCTAAGAAAATATTTCTTATTTCTTATTATATTTTATGGCAGTTGGCACAAGTAGTATTTCTGTGGTAATTGTATGGCAAACAATTGTATAGTAAGCCTTGATTATCCTTTACTCGATTAACTTTAATATTTATTTTTTACTAGTTGTACCCGGGCACGCGTTGCTTTGGCTTAAACAGTTTTCAAAAAGCATATAAAAACACGCGTGAATCGTGTCGACATTTCAAATCAATTGCTGATAAAATTTGGAAGATTGAATATTTTGTAGAAGCGAAAGTTTTAATATTTATATAAATAGTACAATGTGGATGTCTTTAAGGTAAGAGTGAATCGACTACTCGACTACATTACCACCTACTAACAAGGGGGATGGTAGTCAAACTTAGGCTTATATTTTATGAGTAAAAATGTACTTTCAATAGGTAAAAGTGCAAGTAATATATTAATAGGCAAGTCAGACAAGATAATTTTTTGGTTATTGTCTAAAATTGGGTATAGTAATGGCTATTATCAAAGCATTGATCAAATAATGTTTAATGATTTAACGTTTTAAAACAATTATTTGTTGAAAATTAACAGAAACCTATTTAACAATAGAAGATATTTTGTATAAAACTTTTTAAACACATTATCAGATATATTTATAAATTAAGTTAGTAATAAAATAATGCCACAATTTTTCAATTAACGCAAGCATAGAATAAATAATAGTACTACGTAATAACGCAAGTTTGACTGGAAGAGATGCTACAAGATTCTGTCCCCACTCCTTTATTTTGTCAAGTATTATAAAAATATAAAATGGATAAAAAACCGTGTAGAGGCAGTGTAAGAATAACCCGCCAGCCAAGCGTGTTAACTATGTCAAATATCCCCCATATGAAGCAATCTCTGGAGAGGCCGCGTGTGTCCGTGCGTGCGTGCAGATTATCGCTAATATTTTATGAACTTTCAATCTTGCAGTATACGCATCGAAAGAAAAAAATATCCAAAATATTCAATAACAGCTATTTATTGATTTTTAAAATTTTACTTATATTTTTTAAAAGCTAAGATAGGGTAAGAATGAGTAGAGACAGCGTGCATGCCACTTTTAAGTTTTGACATTTCGAAAAGTAAGCTAATGTACTTAGAACGCAACATATTTAAATATTTACGGTTGCAGATTAACAGAAACATATTAAAAAGGAATGTTTCGAAAAACTCCTTTTTTCCCAGTGTGGAAGAAAAACGTCCTAAAGATTTTAAACCTGCCATTACCTTACAGCCTACCAAAGTCCACTGCTGAACCATTAGATTGCCACATGAGGGATTTTTGCCATAGTTTTCACGTTTAGCAAGCGGGTTGGCAACTACAGTTTTTTTATTATTTTAAATGGTTACCAGGAAGATGTTGCTGATCATCTCCAGTTTTATTTCCTCTGTTGCCTTTGTATTGTTTGTGCCTCCTGGACATTCACTACATGGTTAGTTAGATTTTATACCTATTTAAAGAAAAGGATTTCTAACTATTCACTAAAAATAAATTTAATATTTTGCAATACTAACTTAATAGCTTTAATAGCTCTTTTAACTACGAAATGGTAACTTATGCTATGTATAATAATAATAGGCCGGGGAAAAAGTTTCTTCGTATTTTGTTTGTATAAAATTGAAGAAAAATCTCTTTGTTTGTACTATTTGTATCTGCTTGGTTTTAATATCAATACATATAGGACATTAAGAAAAACAAAAATAAAAACTAAAACCACTTTTCCACCATTTCTCAATTGTTTTTCTGACTGCTAAAATGAGTGAATCTAAGGAAGAAGTTCGATAGATTCTGAGGTTTTATTACAAAAAAGAGAAAAATGCGACTCAACCACTGAAAAAAATTTGTGATGTTTATGAATCTAATGCAGTGTCAGTAGGAGTAGCACAAAGTTGGTTAAAGCGTTTTCAGGGAACTTTGATGTCAAAGATGCAGGTTGCTCTGGTCACTCTCATACGGATAAAGTCGATGCCATTTTTGAAAAAGTGGAGCAAGAGCGGCATATTAGTAGTTACGACATAGCCGAGGAATTGAGTATTGACCACAAAATAGTTTTGAGCTATTTGAAAAAGTCTGGCTATACAAAAAAGGTCGATATTTGGGTACCACGCGAGCTCACTGTGCGCTGTGTGTGCCTGCTGTACTACCCTATATCAGAGGAGTCACAGACAAGGTTGGCTACATCTTGAAGCGAGCTTCCATTAAAACATAATTCAAGCCACTGAAGAAGATTAGTCAATTATTACCATCCTTTAAGTGTTATATCCCTCTACAAGATGCAGGAGTGTACAAGCTGGATTGTGAATGTGGTCTCTCTTACATAGGACAAACAAAAGGATCTATAAAAACCCGCATAAAAGAACATATAGCTGAGTTATTGAAGCACCGACATTCCGGGAAGTCTGCAGTGTGTGAACATGTTCAAGATTGTCCCCGCCATTACATTAGATTTGATAGACCACAAATCCTCGTAAAAGAAACACCGATTCCTACCAAGGATGATTCGCGAGGCTATTGAAATTAAAAAAAAAACATCCTAATTTCAATAGAGAAGATGAATGGGTGCTGCTATCTGCTTGGGATCCTATAATTAATAAAATTAAATCCAAACTCAAGCATTCCACTGCAAGACTTCATACATACTATAAGCTCATTCTGCGTAGATCGGACCAAAAATTAATATTCAAAAACTGAAGGTAGTCGGGCTAACTATGACATCGGGACGTCAAACACCTGAGACCCCTGTGACCATGGGTGCTGTAAAGCGACCGAAACGTCGAGATGAAAAAGTTAAATTAAACGCGATAAAATCCGTAAAAATTAGTGTCATTTAATGTGTAGTCTTCGCGTAAATATAAGATTTCACTGTTTTGATGTCAAAGACGCAAGACATTTCATAGACGTGCACCCTGAACAGTGAAGTAGTAACAATTGAACCCGGTTAAATGAGTAGGAATATAAATCTTATTGATATCGGAAGTTTGAAGAACCTTATATAGATAGATATACTGAAATCAATCCATAAGGTCCACAAAGTTCATGAGGTGGGCGAATATGGGTCGTTTAAAACAGAGAAAAGCAATATTCTGGAGTTGCGCCGCCGCGCGTTGGAGTACCGAGTGTTGTCATACTTTCGTAAACTGAAAACAAATCTTGTACAGTTATAACATACAGGAAATTAAAACCTTTTTTACTATTCATGGGGTTCCACCCGTCTCGTTTCGGGGTTGGCGTAATGAACAGCGTATATTTTCCTATTGCGGCAGTTGACTTGATTGTCCTAAAATCGTATTCTGAAACCAACCTATTGTAACCATAGTTAAAGGTGTTTACTATAAAGAATAAATAAATAGAAACAAATAAATATAAGGCATACATTATTATCAAAGTCTCATCAGATTTTAAAAGGTACGTAACAGAACTAATTGTAGCAAAATAGTACAAATAAGAGAGTAACAATTTTTTATAACATTTTATTTTCTGTTTGTAAAAGTGTATTATGTTCCGCAAACCTATTTCTTTTTTAACTTATATATTTCGAAAGAAGGTATTAATGTCTCGTATTTATGGGTGTGGTAGGTGAAGTCATAAAGCCGAGCAGTCGAAACGAGGAGCGATGTTTGCCGGTTAGTGCGGCCTCAGGACAGGTCTGTTCCCCAGAGAGCGAAATGGCGGTCGCATGAAACGAATGCTCAGGGGAAGGACGCTGAAATGTGAAGGTCGTAGCAGATTGGTAACGCCTAAAATAGGGTAGGTAGCAAACATTACATAGCTAATATAGTTTTATCACTCGTATATCCCTTTTTTGCTGTAATTTTTTTAAATATTGTAGATAATAAAAAACATATTTATTTAAATAATTAATATCACAAACAATATTACTTACCTATTATACAAAAAGGTCGTTTTAAGAACTTTAGCCGTCCTATTGATCCTTGATAACGTGACCTGCATCCTGATGACCAAAGCCTTAAGAGAAAAATAAACATTGTTAATACACACACATACCCATTTTATTTATAGCAACAGCCTATATTATTTGAGTACAAAACAATTATACCTAAGGGAATAAACAACTCATTAAAGTTCAGTAGTTACTTTACTGTACCAGACTCCCATGTGCATTGTAAGTTACATCGTACAACGTACATAGATGTACGAAACATTCGAATACATAATTCAATTGTATATTTCACAGTCCGGCCTTTAAGCAAAGACGGTTTACAAGTTAGAAATATTAACTGTGTCAGCTGGTGACATTTTCGTATTTAAAGTAGGACAAACATTGCGGAGCTTTTTACGAAAGTTGGAATAAATAATCCATTTGTGATGTGATAAATTATTTGACGGGGGAACCTGCTGTTGTCACCATTGCATGATTTTATTCTTGAGGTTTTCCACATAGATTTTCTGCTGATTTACACATTTGGCAGTACGAATCAAGAAGGGCAAGCCATAATAATATAGATGAGGTAAGCCCGATGGTAGGCTAGATATTTCGACAGAGACACTCAGTCAATTGGAATGTTGGTTGTGCAACAATATGTGTATTTGCAAAGTGTTGACTCCAACAGAACTTTGACTACTAGGCCACGCAATCGTCAATATATCAATAATTATAGTAGGTAGTATTCTATTCTATTTATTTGAAACTATCCCAAGTCTTTATCCATTTACATTCATTTAAATGGTTTTAAATAACCAAACGACTTATTTTGGTTTTAAATTAAACAATATAGAAGGACACGATATAGAACCACGTTGCATTAATACAGGTTATTTTTCAAAGAGTAACGAAATTTAAAACTTAAGTTCAAATATATAAACAATGATATACCATAATAGCAGTTTTGAAAATACGAGAAAATAAGCCTTCTACTTTCATTTGAAATTATTCTAAATTGAATGTGATTTATGGGCTACAATTACGCGTACACGCGCTCCTCTGTGTGAGATTCAATTCACGTTTTTGCCGACCGATCGACCCTTAAAATGTGTGCGTGCGTAGTAAAATAATGCATTACCACGCATTTCAAATTTAAAAGATAAAAAAGGATAGAATATTGGAGATTTTATTGAACTAATTTATCTTCATCTTTTGCCTATATTAATTATTCTGAACCGTCTTTGCAAATTTTGCCGGTTTGTGCAAAACAACCCTGTATATACATAAATGCGGTGCGATTAAGTCGGCTCGACCGGGGTAGGACCACGTTCTTACAGAATACCAGTGTTAAACAAGAATAATTCTGCTGTTTTTCGTAAGACCCTTTCTACTGGTAACAAGGCATTCCATCTTCGTCCTCTGGTGTGACAACGCATTTTGAATTGTAGGATAAATACATTCATCCACATACCATCAGGTCACCTGTGTGCTCGCTTGGCATCCTTTTCTATAAAAAGAAACAAGAGCTAGAAAGTGCTAACACTTTATCACCATCAAAGTCTATCAAAATCTACTGCTGTACATAGGCCTTTCCATAGATTGCTTTAAAAGGGGAATATTTGCCGTAGTTGCCACGATTGGCAAGCGGAGCTTATTTTCTAGTTCTTATTAAGAAGGCGCTGCTGCCCATCTTCTGCTTTGTTTTCCACTGTCACCTTTTATGATCCCCACAGAACGGAATGATGCAGTTAATATTCTTATACCAACACCACACAGTCTACCACCACACGACAGTAGACCGTTTGGTGTTATTATTGTCGTTATAATAATATTTATAAGACATGCAAGAAGTTGATGGATGCATGTGGCTCGGGAGCGTGCTTTGTGGCATTCCTTGGGGGAGGCATATGTTCAGCAGTGAACTGTGAAGGGCTGTAGTGATGATAATGATGATGATAATAATATTTGTTTGATAATTTCCAATTTGGGAAAATTGAAGAAAACAATTCTTAACGTATTAAGTAATTGTGGTCCGACGCGGTAAACAGCAATACATCAACGAGTGACGTATTGTCCTTGTTACCCACGATATATGTGTTCAAAGTAGATTGAGAATAAGGATGTTCATACCTTAAACACTAAGTAATTAAGAATAAGGATGTTCATACCTTAAACACTAGGAACAAACATAAGCTTGTAATGCCACTTACAAGACTCCACAGAATTAGTAATTCATTTATGGGGCAATGTATACGCTTTTACAACAGAATCCCAGAACATGTTCAAAGTTTGTCAATAAACAAGTTTAAAAGTTTTATTAAAGAAAAACTGTACAAAAAGGGTTATTATAATATCAAGGAATACATGAATGAAAATAACCCCTGGGAATAAGGTGATCGCCACCATGCTGGTTCTATGAAAATTCATTTAAAATTGTATAAACAAAATTATTGTTAAGTGAAATTATGTTTAAAAAAAAAGTCCCGCTGGGTTTCTTGCTGGTTCTTCCCAGGACAGAGGTATTTTCCGAACCAGTGGTAAATAAAATAATGACTTTCAATAAGTATTATGTAATAATCCATATTGAATAAAAATCATTCTATTCTATTCTATTCTATTCTATTGAGTACAGTGTATATTTTTACCTTAAAACAAACTCGATGGCAAACCAGACGACAACTACAGTCTCCATGTAGAACAGTACTATGCCTGCTTTTGCTTCGTATTCCTCGATTGTTGAAAATACTGACAGCGATAGACACATGAACACCATCAGGAACCTGTGCAAAGAGTTATGATTTTCAAATAGTTTATTTAAAAAAAAACGTAACACTAAGATTTTCCCTCTATCGAGTTTTACATAAATTAATTAAACATAGCTAAACATCCACATACGAAACAATTATTTGTATGCTACACAAACATTTTTTGTGCTTGTTTAGCCACTGCGTGACCGTAAAAAATAAATATTATGTAAAAACGCGGCAAATTATAAAATGGTGACATTTCATGATATGACCATATTACCTTAGACCAACTGTCATGTGTTATGATATTTTACCTTTATACTTTTTCACCTGTATTATTTTTTCTTCAGAGTTTTCTTACGAATAGTTTAAAACATACGGCGTGAGAGAGGAGAAATTTTGAATAACTTTATTTGAATTAAAGTCGAGTAAATTAAAACAATGGTAAAGATAAATGTTACAGCCCATATACTTCCCAAGATAAGCACAGGCCTTCTCTCCTTTCTGAAATGGTTTTTAGGGTAAGGAAACGTCCTCCGCGCTGCCCCAATGCGTGTTCACAGACTTTACATGTCTTCGAAATATTTTTGTAATTTCTCAGATATTCATAATTTCGCACGTTACTTCACGTTATATTCCTTCACTGCTGAGCACGTGGTGTTTAATTTACAGCAAGCACTTAGCTCCTTTTAATAAGCATTTCTAAGAATATAGTGCACCGAAATGCTTTTAATTGATGCCCTATTTTTCTTTTAATCTACCAAAACCAATTTCTTTTTATATTCTACTAAGCCAGCGCTTATCTATGATTCCACCTGATGGTAAGTGGTGATGTAGCATAAGATGGTGAAGCGCACTGACTTAATAAAAGTCTATTCACTCTTGCCTTGAAGACATCCACACTGTAATCGGATGGAAAGACAGATGCTGGCAACTTATTCCACTCCTTTGCTGTACGCATGATGAATGACGTAGCGAACCGTTTGGTTCGAATGCGTGGTAAGTCAACAACGAAAGGGTGGAGATTGGCCGAACGTCTGGTTGTCCGATGGTGGAAGGGAGAGGGAGTAATTATATTATGCAATTCATGCGCACACTATCCGAAATGCATCCTGTAGAAAACCGAAAGGCTGGCTACTTTGCGTCTGTATTCGAGGCTGGTAAGATTGTTTTTAACCAAATTCGTGTCACCAATAAGCCTTTTAGCGCGCCTTTCCATTGAGTCCAAAGCTGCAAGGTGGCATTTTGCAGCACCAGCCCAGTATGGCAGCAATACTCCATGCACGACCGAACTTGCGCTTTATATAAAGTAAGCAGCTGTCCCGGCGTGAAGTATCGCCGCATCTTTTCAAGGACTCCCAGCTTCCTTGCAGCTGCTTTGGGCTTGGACTGAATGAACCGCTCGAAGTTCAGATTTGAGGATATCTCAAACTCTAACAACTGAAGGCGTTCGGTATATTTCAGTAATATATTTCGGAAAGAAGGAGCCAAGGTGAGCTGGCTCCTTTTTACAGTGAAGAGACACGCTTGTGTTTTGGAGGCGTTGAATTTGACAAGATTGGTATCACCCCATTCGGAGACTGCCTGTAGTGTGAGATTCACACGCTCTACCTTAGCTTCTCTTTCGAACTGGATTTGATCCCGACTGGCCCGAGCCCTTGGTTGGTATCTCTCCACAACTGTGCTATCGTCTACATACCCATAGATACCGGACATAAGCAGATCATTAATATGCAAGAGGAAGAGAGTTGTGGAGAGAACGGACCCCTGAGGAACACTGGCGTTAGTCGCCATAGGATTGGATGAGCAGCCATCGACGTTGACCCTGAGAGACAGTTCACTCAGAAAGTCCTTTACCCATTTAATCAGACCAGGGGATAAGCCGTACGGCGGAAGCTTACCCAAAAGGCTAGTGTGCCAAACTCTGTCAAAGGCGATCGAGACACCAAGGGAAACAGCAAGTGGTTCCCCACTGTTCTCGAGTGCCTCGCCCCATACGAGTGTGGCACACGCTAGAAGATTCCCAGCTGACCGATTTCGGCAAAACACATATTGCCGGTCACTAAACAGGTTATTCTGTTCTAGGTATGACATTAAGCGGGCGTTCAATATACGCTCCATAATCGTGCAGAGTATGGAGGTTATTGAGATTGGCCGATAATTGGCAGGGTGGGCACGGCTGCCATTTTTTGGAACAGGCTGCACATTGGTCATCTTCCAGGATTTTGGCACTATTCCAGTACTAAATGAGAGCCGGAACAATCGTGTCAGTACAGGAGACAACTCAGGTACACAAGCCTTTAGAACTATAGCTGGTATACCATCTGGTCCACTAGCTTTATTCACGTCTAGACACCGCAAGGTTTTGAGAACCTCGTTATTTGCTATACGAACCTCCGACATAGAGGTGCCGCAGTGAGTTAATTCCTTAAGTCGATTATTTTTACATAGTACTTGGTGGTAGGACTCCTTTTCTGCCGAGTCCGTCTGAGAGGTGTCATCCTCTTAATTTTTGCCGCCGAATAGCAGTCCCTAGTGTACTGCTGTGTTGTCGTCTGAAGGATATAGAGGCCCAATCTAATTATATGCTATGAGCCATGCCATCCTAGTCCTTAGAGGTGATAACGCATCTGTAGGCGTCTTTGTTTGAAGTGGGCAGATAGATGCCCATAGGTTGCTGAAGTCATGAATCATCAAGTGGACAGCAAGTTGGTTTGTCAGTCCAATTTTATAAAAATAAATTAAGTCTCTCGTCTCCATTTTCGCATTTTAAAACTATACCGTGTGGTGGCGCCAAACGAATCACCACTAACCCGTATCATCACGTGTGTGTTGTGAGAGACGACAGAGAAAAATCAAAACAGGACAGGGGCAGCAGCACCTTTTTGATAACAACTTAATAATAATTTAAAATATTTGCTACTATGACAAATATCTTTCATACGAGATAATCTATGTGGGAAGCGTATGTCCAGTAGTAAACTTTTAATAGGCTGTAATGAATGAATCAATCAATTTTAAAATTATGTCAAATTTCAAACATGAAACACTTCGAGAAATATTTTTGTGGCGCACAAAATAAATAGAGCGACGATTCGAGGTGATTCGATCCATAAATGTTCTATTTGGATAAATTTGGCACGAACAACTGTTTTTGGTGTTTTTGATTTTTAAAATGAATATTGTCATTTTATAAAACGCCTGGTACGCTATTCCCTAAAGTTGATATTCGCACACAATGCAAAAATTAAGATATTATTTAATCATTCCTTTTTCAATAGCTTTTGAGCTTATACCATGTACTGATGTCAATGGACTTAGCTTTAAGAATATTATTATCTTGAATAAAACTAATTTTATGTTTTATCGCATTTAATTTTAATTAGATTTAAGTAATTCCTGACGTTTCGGGTGCCTTACAGCACTCATGGTCACAGGTAGACTGGTGACACCTTCGATTTGGGATCTTATAATTAATAAAATTAACTTAAACCGGCTCCGTGGCGCAGTGGCTTAGCAATGAGTTGTTGCGCTGGGGGCCGCGGATTCGAATCCCGCACGGAACAAGTATTTGTATGGACTACAAAAAATTGTTCCGGATATGGATGTTTCTCCTCGTGCCATTTATGTTTGCAAACTGCCTCCACGACACAGGAGAAAATCCTAGTGTGGGTGTAACATTTTTCTAATAAAAAAAAAACAGTCATCAGGTGAAGGGCATGCTTGTCTGCATCCTCTACTATATTTTTTAAGTTAATCCAAATTAAAACCACAACCACAACCACTGCAATACTTTAAGAACTGTAAGCTGTTTAAGATACTGAAAGTTGTGCGTATGAGGCAATCTATGGCGAGGCCTATGTTCAGCAGCTGTAACGGTAACTACAGACTAGTTGTGCCATATTTATCAAATTAGGACGTAAACACCTCAGTTCCCCTATGACCAAGGATGATGTAAAGCATACGAAGCGTCGGGAATTAAAAACAATTGTTTAAATGTGAACATTATATCCTTTTGTATAACACTAACTTTTCGATCCGCCGTCCTCGTTATATCATCCAGTCAGTCATGACCCACACTTATTATGAGATCGCATAATACGGGAATCTCAAGCTATTACATGGAAACTTTATGAAATTTCGGAATGATGATGGACGTAGATTTTAAGTTAGACAGGGGATTTTCGAATATTGAAAATCGCTCTAACAATCTGCCTCTTAGTCATACCGTAGGTACATTCATCCTCTTCAACAAATCATTTTCTGTTACAGCTGTATGCTTGTGGAACTCTTTCCCGCTGCATATTCGCTGTGTTTAATCCTTTTTTGCTTCAAAAATCTACTCAAAGCTTATTACTTGGAACTCAAATAATTCCCTCTAAGGAACTCTAGTTTTCCTTAGCTGTCACCATCATTTGTTTTTTAATTTATTTACACCTCTATCCTAGCCATTCATTGTGAACAATTCTTTCTGTAATAAAGTCGCCTGGAAGACGTACCCAGAGCGATAAGACCACCTATTGTAGCTCCTTTATTTCTTTAATTTTGTTTTTGTTTCAATGTGTATATGTGTACACATTGAATAAAACTATTTTTACGGATTTTATCGCGTTTAATTTACTTATTTTATATTCCCGACGTTTCGGTTGCTTTCCAGCAACCGTGGTCACGGGGGACTGAGGTGATTGACGTCCCGATGTCAAAGTTAACCCGGAGTACCTTCAGCTTTTTAATTATTAATTTTGGTCCGATCTACGCAGAATGAACTAACTGTGTCTTGAAGTCTTACAGTGGTATGCTTGGGTTTAGTTTTGATTTTATGAATTACAGGATCCCAAGCAGGTGGTAGTACCCAGCCTCCCTCTCTATTGAAATTAGGATGTTTTTTAATTTCAATAGCCTCACGTATCATCCTTGGCAGGAATCGATGTTCTTTCGCGAGGACTTGTGGTTTATCAAATCTAATGTAATGACGGGGGCCGTCTAGGATATGATCACAAACTGCAGACTTCCCGGAACGTTGGTGCTTCACG